GTCAAATAACTAAATGGCTCCTTCTTGATGTTATAAAAATGTTCTACCCTTCTGGAGGCAGTCTGGAGAGATGTAAGTTTTTGCCACAGTTCCTGCACGAGGTCCTCAAGGCCCTCCAACCCCAGGAAATCAATAATCCTGGGAGACTCTGAATAGAGGCGACTCAGTATCTTATATTTGGGCTTGTGCTCTGAAGTAATGACTTCTATCTCAACAGACTGGGCCATACAAATCATCTGCTCTCCAAACATTCAGAGATCCTCCGAGGGAGATGCTGGAGATGGCTTCCCTACCTCTCGTCTGGGCTTGGGTCTCATGTTGTGTCAAATCTGTTGGGTTTGATTGTTGGTTCTTCTCCTTTCACTGCAGGGAATAGGAGAACACAGTCTGCATGACATGGTCACTGAAGTGGATACGAAGACACCTGATGAGGGTAATGATATAAATTCACATCCCTGGGGCTTGTGAAGTTGTCACCCCATTCCTCCAAATAGCTCAGAGACATCATGTAGAGATGCGAAGGCTACTCATAGGTGGTTGGGGCTGAGACCACAGAACCGTGGACATTTGTTTTGGATTGGACTTGCATGGAACTTGGCCATGTGGTAAGCTAGTATCTCTGTCCCCATTGAAAACAGAAGCAGGTGGAGATCTCAGACCCAGAGATGGGGTCCTGGACTTCTCTTGCAAGGCTGGTGTTGGCTCAGGAGTGCAGATGGGAGTGTTCTGCTGGGGAGCCAATCTACACTTTTCCTTTGTCTTGCCTTTAGCTTTCTTAGCTAGAGGCTCAGAAGAGGCACAATGAGCCCAAGGGGAGCATGACCGAGATTGGATCCATTGGGACATGGATTCGGGAGGCGAAGTCGAATGTGTTGATTCTGAAGCCGCGGAATTTGGAGCTTTCTCCAGGGCCAACTTGGATGAGGGCCCTGAAGCTTTAAGGGCTTTCTCCCATATTGCTGCTTTAAGTTTCGATGCCCTGTCCCCCTGAGCTTTAGGGGTGAAGCAGGCCTTACACGTGGAGACAATATGTCCTTCACCCAAACATAACAGACAAAGGTTATATTCGTCAGTTTGGGTCATCTTCACTCCACACTGGGAGCACTTCTTGAAAAGAGCCTTCTGAGCCACAGAAAGGACTCAGAAGCCAACGTAGCTTCAACAACGGAGCCTGCTTTGGTGGGGTGCGGGGTATAAATTTGATAAATAAATAAACAACTCTGGACAAAAATTCCTGCCTCTAAGCCAACTAATAGAAATATGATTAATACATACCAGCAGAACTACAGACTACACAAAACATTAATTAGCTGCATTCAGCAACATGGTACTGTAAAATACCTCCCACTGTAACTCCCAAAATTAGTGCTTGGGGCTGGAAAACACCCATCTGATCTCTCTTGGAAACATACATACACTAAACAAAATCAATCAGAAGCATGGATAAATAAATCTAAACCTAGGTGAACAAACCTGGGTCTTAACTTGGTACCTAAAAGTAAGCCGGTTAAGTAAGCATCTGGAAAACCGCTGTGCGGAAGGAGTGCTACATTCCAGGTGCCACTATAGAAAAAGTGCTTTTTTTTGTTACCAGTCACCTTGCCTGTGAAGATATGGGCACACAGAAAAGGGTCTTGAGGGGAGACTTAACTTGGCACGCAGGTTGAAGTAGATACCAGTGGCCCTTTAAATACCCCGGTTCCATTCATCTGCTGAAGGGCTTTCCCACCTAAAATATCCACCACCATGTCCAATTCAAGTTGTGAAACATTCAAAGCCGTTCAGTAAACATATTTGCACATAAAATTGTTTAATTCAATTAAAGACAATAGGGTTATAATGAACTGCTGGCTTCACTGGCTTGAGGATCCCAACCACAAGTATCAAGAGTCGAGTCCAACAGTACCTTGGAGACCAAGATTTGTGGTAGAAGCTTTTGATAGTCAAAGCTCCCTTTGTCAAATCTGACTCAAATCTAGCTATTCTACTGAAGACCAACACAGCTACTCTCTGAAACAACCAAACGTATGGCACTGACTTCAGAGCTGTTGAAGTGGAAATATAATAGGCATACCACAAAGGCCAGTCTTGTGTTAGAAATATAACAATTAGGAAGTACCAAGATTGGCACTGCCATATAAAGAGAGAGTTTTCCTGACATAATTGACTTGACACAGCCAAGCAGGATTGAGTGTCCTAAAGCATGACAAGAACATTTGTCGAGCATCATAGAAAGAGGGTCAGATCATAAGTGCAGGCCGGCTGGTGATGCTTTTGTTGTTTACTAAGCCACCCCTAAGTGGCATTCCAGACACAAAGCTCTGGTGAAGGGAACACTGGTTCTTTTCTTTGGTTAACTGCCACATATTTTGAGTGTATGGACCACGTGAATCCATGACCCGCTGGTGTAATATTTAATCAAGCCTAGGTGATGATTCCACATCAAATCCTACCCATCATCAGTTTCACAAAAGAAAACTCCCTTTAAAAAAAAAAAAAGGAACAATACTGTTTTAAGCATTAAGTGTTTTAAGAATGCAAAATAATCCTGGAAGAAGATTATTGCACTATGCTCTTCAGATTGCTTTATTGTGACTATATTCATCATGCCCACTAATTCAAAACACTACTGAAGCAGGGGGACAAGTTAAGACAATCCTTTACTGAACAATATCCGTTCCTCCTGTTAATCTATCTTGTTCCAGATACTTTGCGCACAGGTTCCCACATGTCAACAGGGAACAACACAGAGAAAAAATACCAGCCTTGTTAGGCTTTTTATGATCATCATCTTCTGCATGGTCCTTCCCTTCACGTGCACATTTTTGTGAAGACCCTAGCCAGACGGTCGCTGTATAAATGCACACACTACTATCTCCCTTTGATGTTCCTCTAACAAAGTTCAACCACTGAAAAGACTGACAAGCCCCTCAAAAAAACAAACAAACCCAAGTCTTATTACAGTCTAGTAAATTGATGCAGCACACAAAATTTCCATCAGCTACAGCTCACTTTGTTCAGATGATCATGAAACACAGGGGGGGGGGGAGAAACTGTGCACATGACCTCTGTAATACAATGCTATACAAAGATCCTCAGTACCTTTTCCCCTCTGGCACCTTCTTTGATAACCTGAGGACATGAGAGCAAATGCTTGGGAGAGGAAGGTATACACTGTTCCATAGACACTGCCAAGGACAGGAGCTGACTCTGAGTTTCGATACATCTACCACACCCTTTGGATATTCTCCAGTTCCCTGACTCTGGAGTAGAGGACATTTGAGGATAAAGGGTGGGAAATCCCTGCATTGCTCCCTGTTCCACAGATATAGGAGGCTGACCGATGATCCACTGTAACCCTTACACCAGCACGACTGATCTCCTATTTAGGGTGGACACCTAAGATGTTCAGAGATGTAGGCATCCCTCAACATTTTATCCCACAAGAGACAGGAAGAGGATAGAGACTAAGCCACAATTACCAATACCCTGCCCAACCTCCAAACAATTCAAGTAACTGATGCGGCAGTCCAGTTGTTCTTCCAAGCCTGAACAAATAAGCACCGTCTAAGCCTCGTACTTTGAACTGTGAAGCTTTGGTAGGAAAACGGGAAGGGGGGTGGTCAAGACTGACCCTGTCTTTGTGCAATAACATAACCAAGCTTTACCCGGGTTTGGTCTCAGTAGCTCCCCGAGTAACACATACCATAAAGCAAAAGAAGGCTTTCTTGAAGAAATTCAAGAAAAGGTATAAAAACAAGGCATATAGTTCAGCGGCAGTGAAATGCACACAAATAATAAAACCGACCAGCTACTCTTACACACTGATATCATAACACAGCACAGTTGGGTTCTTAAAGCAAAGAGTTTTCCAGAGCATAATACAAATATCTTCTTGGCAGCAAGGAGGGGCAGGAAAGGGTAAAAGGGAATAATGATTCTTCTCTCTAACCATACTTATAGAAAAATGCCAGCCACAACCTCCTGACCTCCTTAACCAATCACTGGGCAGTATCCGTGATCTTTCCAAGGTGAGAGTGAGCTCCCCCTTCCATACCAGGTACACAGCTGAACTGTGCAAGAGAATTAACAGGCCTAAGTGGATGCCCTTGGAAGAATAACTGCCAGTGTGTGTGTGGGGTGTGTGTGTGTGTGTGTGTAGCTAATTGCCTGCAGAGAATCAGAGAACGGTAAACTTAGCTGGAAAGGACTGGAAAATTCCTCTAAGATGGCTTCTCTATTGACATGGAGCTATTGGCTATTTCTACTGACAGTACATCGCCATTATACTGTTAGTTTGCTTTCTGATTTATTCATTTTAGAGTGGTAGCCAGATTAGTCAATTACAGCAAAAAGGATAGAATGGGCCTAGTGGTACCTTGAAGACAACTGTTTTCTGCCATAAGCTTTTGTGAGCTAGAATATCAGATGCACAAAGAAAGACCTAGATTTGAGTCCAGTAAGCACCTCAGAGGCCAACAATATTTGCAGGGTATACGCTTTCGAGAGTCAAAGCCCCCTTAGTCGAATCTGAGGTGCTGCCGGACTCAAATCTAGCTTTTCTACTGCAGACTCAACATGGCTGCCCTCTGCAATTTGATGCACAAAAGCTCATCCTTAGTTGGCACAAAGAGGTATTACTGGGGGTATTCTATCAGTAATAATTACCACCAGAGTGAATTTGTCTGAACATTAGTTGCTGTAGATTTTCCGGGTTGTGTGGCTGTGGTCTTGGCATTGTAGAACCTGACGTTTTGCCAGTAGCTGTGACTGGCATCTGACATTCTAGCTCACAAAAACAATGTCTGAACATTGGCTGTGTTGGGTGCATTTTACTTTCAGGAAATGTGTGAGAGCTAAGAATACTAATGCAGATTGCCTGCTGCCTGGGACAAAGATAGGTTAAGATCTGTAGGCAGTTAGTGTATCTTAGTTTATCAGTTCCATGAACAGCTACCTTGACTGTAGCTTCTTAAGTAGTAAACTAGTAGAAGACTTACCTGCACTGCACAGCCCAACACCAGCAACAGCAGCTTTTTAATTTCATCCATACTTTTACCTAAGAGAAAAAATGAATCCAAATAACAGAAGATTATTATAGTGTCTTGTTTTTAAAAAAGAGCAACTATTTATGAACTAGAACTAAGAAGCAAAGCACTTTTCAAGAGGTGGCATATCACTTAAGTTTATAAGAGGGTTTACAGTGTAATTTGATGTTTCTGTTTTTGAAAATTTCAGCTTGTGTGTTTAATCTTCTCAGCTCTTATACTTGCTAAGAAACGTCCCCCAAATCTGAGTTTGTTTAAAAACTTAGTAAACCAAAATTTGCAGACACTGCCATGATTTTGACACAATAGCAAACCAAGTTTTGCCTCTATGTGAATGTGCCCTCGGGGAGGGGTAGTAGTCTTCTCTCGTGTATCCAGATAACGAGGTATTTCAGCTTTTGTGATAAGAACATTTGCTGTGATATGTGAAACAGCAAACTACAGTTTGCTGTTTCCCTGCAAACCAGGATTAAGCTACAGTTCTGAATCCTGATTTACAAGATTAGCGCAAAACAGAGTTTTGATGGCTTAGATGCAGAGGCAAACTATGGACATAAACTGTTTTTGCTGCATTTGATGGGACAAAGGTACATATGAGATCAAGGATGCCTTAGGCTCATTCACATAACAGCAATTCATTCTCTTCTGTTACGTCTCATCCATGCCATAACTTGCACTTGGGAAGGGAGGGAGTCTTATGATTTTTTATATGGTTGATGCAAATCAGCATAGTTTCTTTGTATCAATGAGTAGCTGCTGGGTGGCATCATAATGCATCCTTATCTACTTGTTCAAAACACAGTAGTTTATTCCAACTTTAGCTTTCAAGAAGTGCCTTCAGCTCCTCACACAGCCTCTCCAGGAGCAATTAAAATTACTGCTCTTCCTCTGTGCTTGTCTGCATGATGGGGGGAAAACCCACAAAGATGTCTCAATTGAGAGGCTGCATCCATGAATCACTGAATACAACCTCTGAATATCTCTTGCCTTGAAACTCCATGGGGTCACCATGACTTGGCTGCGACTTGATGGCAAAAAAATTTTTTTTACCTTGTTTGGCATACCTTTTTTGTGTCCTAGTACATCTTAACTTGGGAAGCACTGATGATAGTTTTGTATACTTCATTATCAGTAGGGGACTAAAGGTTAAGAACCACTGGTCTTCACTCAATGACTGGACCTTGCAAAAATAGCCCCGTGCAGACATTACAGTGAATGCACAGGGGAGAGGGGAGCAACACTGTGTGCACTGCCTCCAAGTTCAGCTGAACTCAAGCAGGGGGTTATATACTTTAAAAAGTCTGCACATATTGCTCTTTAAGTGATCAGGACAGGCTTTATGATTTTGGAGAGATCTGAATGCATGGGGGTCATCCTTTTGTTGTGTCCGTGCATGCAGCCCCAACCCCACAGCTCCAAGTGTTCATTATTATATCATATATACCATGCATATATGAACTTTCTTTGAAGACCCTATGGGGTTGCCATAAGTCACCTAAGACTTGACAGCACTTTCCACCACCATAGATGAACTCCCATAAACTGAACGGACCCATTGGTCCACTTAACTCTGCACTGTCTACTCTGACACCAGCTCTCAAGGTCGTAGGCAGAGAAAGGACTTTCTCAGCACCTGCTACACAAGAGCCTTTAAACCAGGGGTGTCGAGCTCTTTTGTTATGAGGGCCGGATCTGACATAAATGAGACCTTGTTGGGCCGGGCCATGTGAGTCATAAAATGTACTGCCAGGTAGCGGAGATATAAACTTTATAAAGGACACAAACACAAAGGGTTTTTTTTTACTTAAAATAAAAACATGCTTAAAACATTAGCACTCTTGCAATAATTTGTTTATTTAACAGTGTCTGATAACTGACACCTCTTTCTCTGCATTATTGCATCAAAATGTCTGTGCTGTTGCAATCTTGAGTATGCTGTTCAGGTGTGTATCTGTAAGCTGCAAACCTACGATGAAATAGCAGCAGCAGAACTGGAAGAAGAAGCAAAAGACAGCCAGTTCCACTGGGGGCCTGATAGAAGCCCCCAAGCCACATGTTTGACACCCCTGCTTTAAACAGAAATGCTGGGGATTTGAACTCCAGACATTCTGTGTGAAGTGTAAAAGGTTATCTTCAAGATCAGGCTTGACTGAAGCAGTACTGGCTGACCCATCACCATCCAGTGAGCTTCAGGACTGAGCAGTGAACTGAATCCCAGTATTTTCCATCCCTGTCCTATAATTCCTCCTTTCCTCTCCCTGACCACAGCTGCCGGGCTCCTGTACATTACCAGCATTGGTTTTTCTCAGTTCTGCAACAAGAGGACAGTTGCAGAAGAGGGCACAGAAGAGGAACTGAAAGAAAGAAACTAATAAGAGTAGTTCAGCAGTGGAATCGGCTGCCTAGGGAGGTGGTGAGCTCCCCCTCACTGGCAGTCTTTAAGCAGCAGCTGGACAAACACTCCTCAGGGATGCACTAGGCGACCCGTATGGCCCCTTCCAACTCTGTGATTCCATGATTTCTATCAGTTCCACCCTTGGGTTCTGCACTTTAAAGGTAAAGGTTCCCTTGCTCGAAAGCCAGTCGAGTCCAACTCTAGGGTTGTGGTGCTCATCTCCGTTTCAAAGCCGAAGAGCCAGCGCTGTCCGAAGACGTTTCTGTGGTCATGTGGCCGGCATGACTAAACACCAAGGCGCACGGAACGCTGTTTACTTTAAATGTTTACTTTACAGCACCATTTAAACTCAGCTACTAGCAATGCCACAGCATGATTTGTGTAAACGATACATATTCAAGATTAAGCCACTTCCTAGTTTAAAGATACACAAAACTACAACACAGCCAGCATTCCAAAATGCCCAAAGTCCCACAGCTTAGCATATGAAAGCAATTTCCACTCCCAAGTTCTCTGGGTCTCACAATGAATTTCAAGCTACTGCACAAAAGTAGTCATCTAACTGTGAACAAGATAGCTAATCTGCTTAAGTGCTTTCCTGGATCAGGGCCAAACTACTGAGCCCCCCTCACATCGTCAAGTCTGCATTTCACAGAAACAGCTCCCTGGCCTTATTCTTGTCGTAATCATCCATTTTTTCCATCCCTTAAAAGATTGCCTACAGTCCATATTAAAACATTTCTAGGTTTGCCAACAACATGTCTGAAGATGAGAGATTTACAAGCTCCTGGGTCCTGCTAACAGGATGACTGACAGAGGAAAGGGGGTCTGATCTTTAATGCAGGCACCAGAAACTCTGCTTGTGTGGAAATGGATCTTCAATCAGATCTCTGGTCCATTTACTTGAAGAAAATGTAGGAAATACTGTGCAGGTGATATTTACTCAATTTCTAAGAAGCTCAAGCAGTGACTCGGGGTACAGCACAGTGCTTTGTATACATAAGGTCCCAGGCTCGATCCTGACACCTCCAGTTAAAAGACTGCAGGCAGCAGGTCTTGGCAAAGACCCCTATCTCCCCCAGACCCTCAGCTGCCATTGCTGGTCACAGCAGACGATCCTGACCCAGATGGACCACTGGCCTGACCCACTATGAGGCAGTGTGGTATGTTTGTAAGAAAACTTCTTCCTGCCTTCTAGCCAATATGTGCAAAGCAATGGAAATAATTGACAGGCACTTGGAACTTTACCTGTTTCACTACTAGTATTTAATTTTTACTGCTATGCATTAAGCTTACCATGCCCCTGCAGCGTAAAAACCTTCTGCTTTGGCAGCCTCAACAAAAACAATATCCCTGGCTTTATTTGCTAATATTTGAACAATTCCCCATTCACATCGAGGAAGAAAAGCAATGACCACACACAAGCTGCCTTACACCCTGGAACCACTGGAGCCTGGGTGGCGGACACATGTATATAATAACACACACATAAGAGGTTGGTAGCAGACTTCCTTTTATGTTAAATGAGAAAATGTCTCTCAAGAGAAATCACCACCTTCATTCTGTCCAACCACAATGTTGATTAACTAACTACACGCTTGCAGGTGCTTGGACAGAAATGTTCTTTGTAAAAATGAAACAGAGATACAACTCACTGAATATCTGGGGAAAACAGGAAACATTTCTTGAACATGTGCTAAAACCCAGAGATGAGCTCTGGTTAGTATTTGAATGGGAGACCACCAAGGAATTCCAGGGTTGCCATGCAGAGGAAGACAATGGCAAACCACCTCCATTAGTCTCTTGCCTTGAAAATGCTATGGGGTCATTATAAGTCAGCTGTGACTTGATGACAGTTTACACTCAAAACCCCAGAAGTAGCACAGATCTCACTCCTCTGTCCTAAAATGCACGAGGAGAGCGTAAAGAAGTAAATCATTACCTGAGTGAGCCCTTTGCATGAGATACCTTATCATGTTTTGCTATGCAAGCCTATGATGCTATCCACAAGAAACGCAAATGAAAATTGATTGTTGCAGACATTTAGATTTACAAATGGCAAAATGGCCTAATTACTAATCGACTTGGGGCAAAATTCAGTATGGAAAAATAATCCCTGTTGCAGAAGCTGGCAAGTGAGCTGGGAAAGAGCTGTTTTTACTTCTTGTGTGAGGATTGTTTTTGTGTCCTGGATTCTATTCTCAGCACTCATCCAATGCACCTTTTAAACATAAAGGTAAGAATGTTTCAATAAACAGATTCCCTTTAAAGAGAGTTTCCAAATCTAAAAGAAAGGGACTCCAAATAATGCTGACATTTTAATGGGTCTGTTCGGTGCAGTAATTTGCACAATTATTTATACCTAAGACTCCAATAATTCAGTTTCCAGGGCAATTTTGTGCACGCTAATCTTCTTCAATTGGAGTAACTCTGCATAGAATTTCACTATTAATGAGTTCTGTTACCACCTCCCCACCCTCATTTCCCATTTTAAGAAAACAAGTCATTCTAACCTCCAAAGGTGGCATTATCTTCTTCCCCATGTTTCTTAATGCCTACTTTTCAAAGAACAAGTTATCCAGGCACAAAAGGGTACACTTGTGCTCCTTGTAGCAC